CTTGGATCGAACACCACATAATTGCCCGAGTGTGAGTTGTGACAGAGATAATAAGTTTTTTCTTCATTCTCGGCATGGGATACACATTTTGCAACTCAATTTGATGTGAACTGAATCGGGGTGTTATTATCGTCCGACCGACATGGGTAATTGGCAACTTTGAGTTGTCTGCGGTGACAACTACTCGTTTGTTGATGTACTCAGACATGTTTGATAGCTTGCATTGATATCCTGTCATATGATTTAAGCACCCTGAATCAATTATCCAATCATTATCTTAATTGATTAGTTTTTCACTTACAGTGATGAGGGCTATCGCATTTTAACTCAGTGATAGAGGAGGCTACAAGCTCTTCTTGTTCTCCAATGCAATGGACGCTTGAAATCCCACTCCTCTTTGCTATCATTCTCTTTAGATGCTGCAATGATTCCTTCAACTCTTTTGAGTCGACACTCCCTAAAGTGACCTACTTTGCCGCGGATGTAGCACGATCCGTTACGCCTTCTATTGGTCTTATCTTCATTATCATCCTTGTTGCGATCTCGGCATGCTCCCCCCAGTTGAGGGCCTATCCCTTCTAGTTGCTTTTGCCATTCTTCATAACTTTTCCTATGTTTTCCATCTCTAATGTCTATACCATTTCTCCTCTAACCCTTGAACCCTCTTTTACTACTGAAGAGGGCACTTTCATCTTTCTTAACTGAGACCTTAGACATTTGTCTATCTAAAGCTTCTTGGTTGGCCAATATATTCTACAACTCGGTCAAAGTTGGCTCTTTTGCCCATCCACGTTATACTTCGACCGTAATCCGTGAATAATAATTCTTCTCATCCTTGTCTCAGAGATGGCATTTTGGGGATCTAACTTTGAAATTTCTTCACAAATAGATTTAACTTTGAAGAAGTATTGACTCACCATCATATTTTGTTGCGACACCGACAATAGCTTGTTCTCCAACCTTTGCAACTTGGCATCGTTCGTCCTCGCGAACAATGCCGCCAAGTTATCCCATGCCTCCTTTGGGGTCTTCGTACTCTTGATATGTTGTAACAATTCATCTTCAACAATTATAGCAAGAACATAAAGAGCCTTACCCACTTTAATGTTCAATTTTCTTAACTCGCCATCATTCGTGGGTGGTGTGGTGTTGCTGCCGCCAATGATATCCCACAAGTCTTGACCCAGCAAATAAAATTGCATGCGGGTACTCCAATTATTATAGTTGGAGTTGTTGAGCTTCTTGAAGCCGTTCATTGAACTTGAAATATCCATTATCTGACTTGGATATAATGCCTGACACTACACCAAGTTACCTTGGTCCCAGACCAATCAATCACAGTCCCTAACTGTGTATTGGCAAAATTTCGGCATACTTCGGTCCTTGACCATCTGCTCACGTACAATGGTCTCTGACCACTGTCTTCATGTACCATGCTCCCGATCTTTGGGTTCACTGTCCCTGACAGCCTTGCTCTAATACCACTTGTTGTGGAGCGAGTGGAAACTAACTTACAATAAACACTCTTGTTATTACAAGAAAGAGACGCCCAACACCACTCACTCACCACTCTCCTCTCACACACAAGCACACTACTTTTTGGGGGCTCTTACTCTTTTACAAAAGTTGAAGACCGACTTTGACTTGTCTCCAACAACTTGCTGCAGAAGGTTGTAAACAAGCTTGCTCCTTAAGAAAAGTCAACAAAAGACAAAAGCCACTGTTTACAGCTGTTCAAGAAGTTGACAAAAATAGCACCAAATTTGGACTTGTTAAACGCCAGTGGAGAGGTATTGATTACTCAATAACAACGACATAATGTGTATTTCATTCGAAGCACATTCTCGTTGCAGAGATTGTCCAAGCACCCTTTTCCAAAGCTCCATGTAGGAACGACCAAGGTTAAGTTTACCAAAAAAGAAAGAGACCAAGAGTTTGGCTCATCCTCAAGAATTGTCTGTCGCCAATCTGTACTCACTGTCTTAGGTGCCATGTATGTATACTTGATTTAGTCAGGCAGAACTTTTTTTCCTGCCTAATTCCCTAAAAAACCCCAAACTTTAAGTCAAGTCCCAAATCTGCCCCGAACTTTTTTTTATCTCAGAAAAAACCCCAAACTTTAGGTCAAGTCCCAAATTTGCCCCGATCTTTTTTTTATCTCAGAAAAAACCCCAAACTTTAAGTCCAGTCCCAAATCTACCCCGAATTTTGTTTTGTGTAAAAAAATCACCAAAATTCAATTTATTTTCAAAAATATACTCCCATGATCCAGTCCCAACTTAACGTGGCACTTCCACGTCGATAACAAATCCACATCAACAAAGTAATAGGGCTTTTTTTTTAGACAAAAAAAGTTCGGAGCAAATTTGGACTGAACCTAAAAGTTAGGTTTTTTTTAAATTTAAAAAAGTTTTTTTGGGTGGATTTGTTATAGTCCCTAACTTTCATATTCTAGAATGGTTTTATTTTGGAGAATTTCAACAATTTTTATTTGGTTTGATTTGTTATCGAAATGGAAATGCGATGTCGATTTGTACCTATCACCCCATTACTTAGCTGATGAGGATTTGTTATCGACGTGGAAGTACCACGTCAAGTTGCGACTGGATCACAGGAGTATATTTTTTAAAATAAATTGAAATTTGCTGATTTTTTTTACATAAAACAAAATTCGGGGCAGATTTGGGACTAAACTTAAAGTTTAGGGTTTTTTCTGAGACAAAAAAAAGTTCGGGGCAAATTTGGGACTGGACCTAAAGTTTGGGATTTTTTCTGAGACAAAAAAAGGTTCGGGGCAAATTTGTGACTTGCCCTAAAGTTTAGGGTTTTTTAGGGAATTCACCCTCCCTTTTCATAACGAGTGCACTATTTTCGAAGGCGTTTTTATCATTGCGAAAATGAAGTCCTTATCATCTTGTAATTGAATCGAGGGTTAATATCACAAAACCCTCAAACTTTACCTACTATAACACAAATACCCTAAACTTTTTTTTTGTGTTACTAAAAACCCTAAATTTGCCAATTGTGACACAAACACCCCAAACTCTTTTTTGTCTCATTATACCAACGTGACAAAATACCCCGGATGGAACTGAAATAGAGAGTATATATGTCGCCCATGTATAAAAAAAAGTTGGGGGTAGGGTCTTTGGAGATACAAAAAAAAATTGGTTTATTTATGTCACAATGGGACTAGTTTGGGGTTTTTTTATGGTATTTGCCGTAGAATGAAAGATAACATAAAGTTGATACTTCAAGATTCAACAGAGAAAAGTCCACCTTCTCTATCATCTCATATTGCACCAAAATAAACATATGTACATAAATTTGTGGATACAAATCTGACCAATAAAAAAAATTTGTGGATACAAAGTTTCATCTCGATAAAGACATGTGAACGGGATTCCTGTTTATGATCTGGGGAAATATAGGACTACTATTGTTTGTTCTAATCTTGAAGAGTATAAAGCTCTCCTGTGACTTTTGCCCACTGTAAATGTAGTAAAAATTTATAAAATTATGTCTACCTGTAGATGATAAGTGAACCCTATTAGAAATCGTCTCGCAAAAGATACATGCTATATAGCCACATTTTCGGAAAAAGAGCCTAACATTATTGTGCTTTTCAAGTTAGAAAAATAGTCATTTCTGCGGTGATGATTGATAAAGACAATTTCAAATTCTTCTTTGGGAAAATATGTACTTAAGCTTTTAGAACAGTTGGCAGTGGTCTCACCAAAATCTAACATGGTATCAGAGCAGGAGGTCCTGAGTTCAAATCTTTTCGGCCCCCATTTGTCTCCTTAATTTAATATGTCCATGCTTAGTACTAAATAAAAAGACCATACTAAATGTGAGGAGGAGTGTTAGAATATTTAAATAATAAATTATGCCTTCATCTAACAGCTTAAGCTTTTAGAACAGTTGGCAATGGTCCCACCAAAATCTCACAAGAACATATCTCTACATAATTGTACTGATTTTTTTTTTCTAGTTGAGCCAAACGTCATGTATACCATTTGGTTGTCAAGTTGAGTCAATGATTAATTATTTCCCGGGAAATTGTGTGTTATTAATGGTGAAATATAACAACTTAGGTTTGAAGTTCAACCAAATAATTGTCAATTCACGAAAGGAGTTTAATATGGATGTTGAGAGACCTGACATATAATATAACATCACAAAGGCATGAGATAAAGAAGTCAACTTAACGATGAAGAAGAATCAACTTGATTGTGTCTGGGCCAATTTATCCTCTTTCGTTTTGTTCTTAATTTTACTTTTGTCGAAATAATTAGTTTCTTATTGGTTTGCAATATCATATGCCAAACAACATCAAAGGCGACAACCAAATGCCTGCACCATGGTTTATAGATTAAATCTTTCAACAACCTCATGGGTTGGTTTCAGTTGGTAAAAAATGGACATGCGGCGGCGATTCCCTCCACATAGTACAAATAATTTCATGGATCTGCAGTTTACTTAATTTTTTTTTTGGTCGGAAGCAGTTTACTTAATTAAAGTGCACTTTCTCGACATTAATAAATACTGTATTCGAACACAATTATGCATCATGTCTGAAATTACGTTAAAATCCAAATGGGAGTGTTCGACGATGTTTCGTGAGTACAATTTCATATATACTTGAAAATAAGAAGTTTTCCTTACCCATGTTGGAGTAATTGACATTTTATCATCTTAAGGACATGTTGAATTAGGAGTCTAGTCATGATGACAAAAACTTCAGTGGTACATTTTACTTCATAAACATTTTACTACCATGGGTTAACTTCACTATAATAAACGGAGAAAATCGAGAAGTTTTTACGATTAGTACACATATTGTTTAAATAATAGCAAGTACGAGTTCTTTCCCAACTTCAAACTCCTATGTTTCCTTTTTCTTAAACATTTCTATTTTTATAATATAGCATCAAGTTTTAATTGAATTATGATCAATACTATGCCTTTTCACCGTCTTTTTTGGTTCGCCCGTGCAGCACTTGATCTGATAAAGAATAAGCAAGTCCAAGGCATAATAGGCCCTCAAGGTTCAGTGCAAGCAGACTTCCTCATTCACCTTGGAAACAAATATCATGTGCCCATCATGTCTTTTTCGGCTACTAGTCCTTCCCTCAGTTCAATTCGGAGTCCGTACTTCATTCGAGCCGCGCAAAATGACTCGTCCCAAGTGAATGCCATAAGCGCACTCATCCAAGCTTTTGGCTGGAAAGAAACAGTCCTCGTGTACGTTGACAACGAGTTCGGAGAAGGCATCATACTTTCTCTTACTAATGCTTTGCAAACGGTTGGCACGCAAGTGCCCCATAGGAGCCTCATTTCTCCTTCGGCCACGGACGATCAAATCCTACAGGAACTCCACAAGTTAATGACGATGCAAACGAGGGTCTTCATCGTGCACATGTTACCTACTCTCGGTTCTCGGCTATTTGCCAAAATAAAAGAGGTGGGAATGATGAGCGAAGGTTATGTGTGGATCTTGACTAATGGAATCACTGACCTATTGAATTCTGTGGATTCATCTGTTGTCGCTAGTTCGATGCAAGGAGTACTGGGCATCAAGACTTATATCCCGAACTCACCAAACCTGGACAACTCCATGGTCCGATGGAAGATGAAATTCCAACAAGACAATCCATCCGTCCTTAATCCTATGTTGAACATTTTTGGATGCAGGGCTTATGACGTTGCTCGAGCTCTAGCAATGGCTATCGAGGAACTGGGTGCAACGAATTTTACCTTCCAGATGTTGAATGCTTCAACAGATATAACGGATCTCGACACTATTGGGGTCTCTCAAAATGGTCAGAAACTTCTCCAAGAACTAGCCAATGTCACATTCACGGGCCTCACCGGAAATTTTAGACTCGTAGATGGGCAACTAGAGTCGTCAATGTTCCAGATCGTTAATATCAATGAAAATGCAGCAAGAGGGATTGGGTTTTGGACACTAGAAAATGGGCTGCTAAGAGATTTGTGTTCATTCAACACAAGCAAATATTCCACTTCGAAGAGTAATCTCAGATCGATAATATGGCCAGGAGATTCAACCTCTGTTCCGAAGGGATGGGAGATTCCCATAAATGGGAAGAGGCTAAAAATTTTAGTCCCTGTGAAGGACGGTTTCCTTCAATTCGTGACGGTGACTCGAAATCCTAGCACAAATACATCCCAAGTCACCGGATACTGCATTAGCATTTTTCAAGCCGTCATAGAAAAATTGCCTTATGCTGTGGCTTATGACCTTATTCCGTTTGCCTTGGACAATGGAAGTAGCGCTGGCAGTAGTTACAATGACTTGATTGATCAAGTATATTACCAAGTGAGCAAGTGCTTAATTTTGTTGGATTACATGTTGAAACTTACTATGCTATCATGTGGTTGACAAAGAAAACATTTCCCTTCCTTTTGTTTGAACAGAATTACGATGCAGTGGTGGGTGATATAACGATCATTGCGAACAGATCATTATACGTGGACTTCACCTTACCATACACCGAATCGGGGGTTGCAATGCTCGTGCCATACAAGGACAACAAGAACGAGAATGCTTGGGTTTTCTTGAAGCCACTCACTTGGGACCTTTGGTTGACAACCGGATGCTTCTTTGTGTTTATAGCATTGGTCGTGTGGATTCTTGAACACAAGATTAATGAAGATTTCGGGGGTTCGGCCGCACATCAAGTTGGCACGAGCTTGTGGTTCTCGTTTTCAATCATGGTCTTTGCACAAAGTAATCACCCTTCACTTTAATAAATCAATCGAACATTACAATTTACTTATCGTTCTTAAAAAATTTAGGTGCTTTCCCTTAATTTGGATTGCAGGGGAGAGAGTATTTAGCAACCTAACAAGATTTGTTGTGATCATGTGGTTTTTCGTGGTACTTATATTAACGCAAAGTTATACGGCAAGCTTGAGCTCTCTTTTGGTGGTGCAAAATCTTCAACCAACTGTGGTTGATATGGATCAGCTCCTAAAGAGTGGAGAAAAAGTGGGTTACCAGCATGGCTCTTTTGTTTATGGAATGCTAAAGCATATGAAGTTCGATGATTCCAGACTTATATATTATCATTCTCCTGAAGAATGCAATGCGCTTCTTTCCAGGGGAAGTGCAAAGGGTGGGATTGCAGCAGCATTCGACGAAGTCCCCTACATTAAACTTGTTCTTTCTCAATATTGCAATAGATATACCATGATCCCAACATTAAAAACTGCTGGGTTTGGCTTTGTAAGTCCTCAATCTCTCAATTTTAGCCCAGAAAAGAAAGCCCTCAAAATTTCTAATTGCTAGGATTATTCGTTATTTCTTTGATTGAAAAAATCTCATGTCATGCTTTTGGTTTGCAGATTTTCCCCAAAGGGTCTCCGCTAGTACCAGATATTTCCCAAGCAATCCTTTACGTAACTGAAGGGCCTAAAATGACGGAAATTGAAAATGCATGGTTTCCATCGAAATCCAACTGCTTGGGTTCGACTAACTCAAGCTTGGGTCTTGACAGTTTTTGGGGCCTATTCTTGATTGCTGGAGCTGCTGCAGTTTTAGCTCTCTTCATTTTCATGGTCATGTTCGTCAAAAAAAATTGGCATGAAGTTACAAGTTCTTCAGGTTCATTGCGGGAGAAAATTGTTGCATTGGGAAGAAGATCTTACCAAAGAGACTTCAATTCCCATACTTTTAGGGAAGGCAGAGATAGAAATACGGATGATGGTGGCAATGAGATTGCAGCTGTTGAAACTTTCGAAAACACTAACTTGCCTCCAAGTCCGTCAAGAGACTTTAGCCAAAACAACGACAATATAAACAATGAGCAAGGCACACCATCTGCAGAACAAGGACATCCTAATCATGTAGACGAAGGGTGCCCGACGTAGATATAAATGTCGAGCTTACAAATGTAAATTAAGGGAGGTACATACCTCAAAAACTTTAGATACTAAACTTAAATGCCTCAACAACGTCGAACTTTGTACTATTAGATGACAATAATTTCCCCCTCATTCTCTTCTCATGAAAGGACTGCGATTGATACTGCTTATCATCTAATCGTAGACAACATAACGAAAGATAGATGCTTTTCAAAGCATTTTCCAATGGACATTACATGCACGTGTTAGCTTCTCTTATCCTATAGGCTGCGTTTGGTCGTCTGGATTTTTAGCTATGATGGGACCGGATATAATAGGATATGAAATCTAAGAGATTTGCTATATCGTATCTACTGTTTGGTGAATCGCAGTAATAAAGCTAGATATTTTTACATCTTACCATATATATTATTTGCTATGAACACCATATTGATGTAAATGAACCTAAAAATTGCACAAATGGAGATAATAAAAATCTCTCACGACACTCTTACCTAATTCATTTTTATTTGCTTATTTTTTATTATTTTCCCTCTTTTTTTAATTCTTTTATTTTTTATTTTTTCCCTATCCCATCATTCTCTAAGAAAATTTTAGTAAATAGTAAATTATACTAATATACCTAAACTATGTAATAAACATAAATACTAAATGTATTTATTTATATATATGAAATTTATATCATAAGATAGAAAGAAATTTGAATATATAAATAAAAATAAGAATAAATAAAAAATATTATTATTATTTTTTGTTATTTTGAATTTTTTATATTAAAATTCAAATATTATTTATATTCAAATATTATTTTAATATAACAAGTTTGTTATTTGAGAAAAATAACTTTTATATTATGAATATTAAAAATTTTATCCACATTTATCCCACCTCCCTCATGGAATAATTATATCCTGGCTATATCCCTCCTATAAAAATAGGCTACGTTTGGTAGTCGGGATAAAATTCAAAATGCATTTTTTTTGTAAATAATAATAATGATGATGAAAGAAGAGAAAATAAGAGAAGAAAGATAGAAAAGGATATCAAAAAAATATAAATAACAAATAAAGCACCAAACACCATTAAACCACAAGTGCAGCCCATTAAAATCACCCCAAGCCCATCAGTGATTTGGTCCAATTAGATCCAACTCAATTAGGCCCATCACTCTCCAGCCCGTCCAAAAAATCAGGTCCAATTCGCTCATCCTCAGCCCAACAGCCCAAGTCCATCAAACGCTTGACCTTGGCCCACGGCCCATGAAAGGGCCCTCTATTCCTGAAAGCTGGTTCACTCTCTCTCTCTCTGAAGTTTCAAGTTTAACGTCGGAGGCACGCGTGCATTGATGAGAGCTGAGGAAGGAATGGATGGGAAGGTTCAACACACGCTAGTGAAGACGTCGCTAATCCTCAGTTTGGTATAACCAGTAGTCATTCATTTTAAAGTTCGTTACGGAAGATCTCAGTTTGGTATATACTCCCGGCGTTCATATGTAACGAATTTGATTCTGTGTGTTTCTAGATGTGGTCGAGAGCCACTTGTATGAAACTGAATTGATCCTGATGTGTTTTTGCCAAGAAACTGAGTTGATTTCGATGTTTGTATGATTATTTCTGAATTGATCAAGTTTCGATGTATTTGGAATTTGTTCATGATGTTCTGATTAGTTTTGATGGATTCATGTTAAGTTCTGAACGCGAGTATACATGATGCCATCCACTGTGACCAAATGTGAGTGTCTGTTTTGGATTCACAATTATCGTGCATTTCCTTAATTCACATTGAACATCTGGAAAATTCGAATATTAGCCGGTACACAATCAGACGAAAAGATCACATCATCATTTTGTAAATTAGATGACCCAAATTGTGTGTTATCGTGTATTTTGACATATACTATGGATGATGTGTGGTGTTTGAATGATACATATGCTAATGTTATGTGCAATTGAATATGACAAGTGCGAATGACATCCGCAAATGAGAAGTGGGACAATCGAATATGACATGTGCTATGAAATGGAACCTGAATGACATGTAGGATAACGTGGAGATTGGATAATTAATGGATGAATGACATGTGAAATGTTGGATTCAAATATGATATGAGTGAATGGCATGTGTAATGACATATAGTTCGTATAGGACATGGGCTAACTACATTTGTAAATGACTTGGAAATTGAAAATGGCATGGGCAAATGGCATGCGTTATGACGTGGAAATCCAATTATTACATGCGCAAATCACGTGCATGGTCACAAGGAATTCAAATGCAACACGAGTGAAAGACTTGTGTTATGACACGGAAGTCGAATAGGATATGTGCAAATTACATGCGTTATGAAGTGGAAATTTGAAGATGGCAAGAAGGAATGGCACGTGTGATCACTGCAAAATCAAATTATGACATGTGCTAATGGCATACATTATGACATTAAAATCAAATCATAACACGTGCGAATGACAAGCTTGGTGACATGGAATAAAAAAAGGATATGAGCGAATGACTTGCGTAATGATATGAGATTTGAATAGGACATGTGCGAATGACATTTGTTATGATATGGAAATTTGAATATGGCACGAGCAAATGACATTTTGAATGTAAATTATGATAATTAACATGCACAGGGTCTCAGTTCATGGGTTCGAATCGTAATAGCTAATGGTCCTTGACCTCCGGTAGTATTAACGTAGTCTATTTTACACTTTAACCTAAATCCCATCGGTCTCAGGACCTAAAATTGGGCTCAAACCGGGATTATAGGCTGAAATCTATGTATTGGGGGTCGGTTCTGCTAATGTTGTTGCGAAACACCAATCTTGCTTTGGGTATGTGCAGTGGAACTTGGTTGATAATCATATGTCTAGGTAATTATGTTATTCAAATAAAATATCATTACTAGAAAACCCTTGGTGCAGAAGTTCTTATATATAACTTATATGAATTATTACTATATTTATATAAGTACTAGAATATATTAATATTTATATTATTGATTAATCAATCTTGGCTTGTTGGTAATTCACGGGATTTTTTTTTTTGGATGAATAATCCGCACCAACTTTTCTTCTTATCAAAATTAGTAAAAGAAAGTGCTAATTGAGAATTAATAAAATTATTTATACAAAGGCAACAGTTCCTTTGAGAAAAAGATTGATTTAGATATAATGAATAATTCTCGTTACTTCTCTATAATTTATCTTATGATAGATAATTCAATAAAACAAATATATGATGTAAGCTTTTTGTGATGAATGACTTTAAAATTTCCAATAAATATCTTTCACTACATAAAATTTATTGACGCGTTAGCATAGAAACGTTAGCCATTCAATATATGGTTCTAAATTCATATTATTTTGTACATAGATGCTTTTGAAGTTTAGTCGAAATTTTATCACTCATTTATTGATATTGTTATCACATTAGCATCAATAGAACAATATATATAATCAACAAATATCAAGCATAAGATTTTATTCGTCGGTTTAATATGCATGATATATATAGTGTTTAGAGGTGGCAATATGGGTCAACCACCCATTTTTTAACTCAATTTTAGTGGACCAGATTGAATATGGATCACTTAAAATTTAAAAAATAGATCAAAATGAATCAAAATGGATTTGAAACATTAAAACTCAAGTTCATACGAGTTGAGTATGGGTTTGCACCTGACCCATATTCAACCCATAGTCAACCCAAAATGTAACCTGACAAGCTCCAAGTAGGGACACTACTCACCGCCGTCATCCTTCCAAGACCGCCATCCTCCCCGTCCCTCATCCCTCGAAAACCGCCATTGCCCCGGTCGTGCTCGCCGCTCGCACATCGTCAACTTTCTCCACCGCTCGTTGCTGCCATTGCTCGTCCCTTGAGCACCGCGATCATCCTCTGTTCTCAGTTTTAGATCACTCTCTCTATCCAACAGTTAAAATCTATCAGATCTAATGCCGACAAAAAATCTGCGACCTCGGATTGGAATGTCTTGGACCTCCAAATCAGTGAAGATAGAGGTTCGCAACCTCCGATTTGAGGTTGAGGACCTCCACCTGCTTCGGCTACGGCGTTGTGCTTGGTTTTTCGAAGAACACGGGTTGAAGAAGGCGACGGCCAGATGAGGGTTGCAGTGCGGCAAGGGTAGTCTTGGCGTGACCAAGTGACCAAAGGCTATGCGGAAGAAGTGGCGTGCATATGCTGGTTGGGGAAGAAGACGACACTTTACAGGGCCTGTTTGGTTCAACTTTGAAAATTCTACTTGGGGGAACGTAAATACCTTTGGGTGAAAGCTCATTAGGAAAATGCAAATGGTGTTTGGTAAAAATATTTTGTAAAGCTACTTTGATCAAAATATAGTGTTTGGTGAAATTTTTTTGCAAATTGACTTTGGGAATAAAAAAACCTAACTTATTACCCTTCGTCGGAGCAGGCACCGGCCGGCCGCCGGTGAGCCAGATCTGGTGCCGGCGGCCGTTGCCTGAGGTCGGGCGACCGCCGGCGGGCCAGATCTGGGGCCGGCAGCCATCGCCCGAGGTCGGGCGACCCTCGGCGAGGGTTCTCGGGACCAAGCGGCCGCCTGAGTCGCGCGACTTAGGCGGCCGTCGCCCGGGAGGTCGTGTGACCCGGGGCCGTCGCCGAGGTCGCGCGACCCAGGCGGCGACGGCCTGGGTCGAGCGACCCCAGCGACGGCGTCGCCTGGGTGGTCGCCTGGGCGGTCGCCCGACCCCAGGCGACCTCGCCGGCCCTTCTCCCTCGCCGGCCACCCTCGCCGGCCACCCTCGCCGGCCACCCTCGCCGAAGAAAAACAGCAGCTTCAAACCCTAACTTAAATAAATAAAAAATAAAAAAAAAAAGAGTGAACAGTAGCATTCGTGGAATGCTGAAAGCCCAAGGCTGGTCCGGACCAGCCTTGGGCTTTCAACATTTGGAATGCTAGCATTTGGCCAATGCTAGGTCAAATGCTGAACCAAACACTTCAGCATCTTGGGAAGGGGCTTTCGAGGCTCAAAGCCCCTTCCCAAAGCTGAACCAAACACCCCCACAATCTCCACAATTGCTGTTCCACGCCGCGGTTTTGTCTTCTTGTGTTTTAAAATTTCCTTTTTTCTCTTTTTTAGGAAATTAACTTTTTAACGTTTATATTTTTATATTAGTATTTTGGAATTCTTTTTGCCACACCATAAGATTAATAAAATGCCCTTTCAATTTTTTGTTTTGCTTTAAATTGCCAATTTTCAAATTATATGTTTTTTACGTTCTTTATTTTATTTATTTTTTCATTTGTTTTTTTCGTTTGATGTGAAGTTTTTATCCAAATAACATATACACGTAAAAAGCTTAAAGTGGACTAAATATATGGGTATGAGTTTTCCTAAATTTGGTTATATATTAATCTATTTTGGTAATATAAGTTGGGTCGGGTATGGGTCACTAATTTTGCATTGCATGAAAATGGGTCAAAATGAGTTAAATGGGTCAATATGGATTAAACCCTTTTGGATCCGACCCAAACCCAACCCGACCCGACCCACCAATTTGACAGCCCTAGTAGTGTTCAATTATCCTTCATCTTTGGAGAAAGGGGGTTTATATAGGGTGAGGAATTAAGGCACACTCTTGCAAGAATAAGAAACATATTAATTCCTAATTTGGATTAAGAGAATATGTGATATGTAAAAAATTTCTTATTTTTGACATATCATGTCTACTGTTTGGTGAATCGCAGTAATAAAGCCGGATATTTTCACATTTTATCATATCCATTATTTGGTATGAATGGCATATCAGTGTAAATAAACCTAAAAATTACACAAATAGAGATTGTAACAATCTCTCACGAAACTCTTGCCTACTTCATTTTTCTTTGCTTATTTTTTTATTATTTTTCCCTCACCTTTTTATTTCTTTTTCCCCCCTCCATCATTCTCTAATAAAATTTTATTAAATAGTAAACTATACTAATATACCTAAAATACTAAAATACCTAAAGTATGTAATAAATATAAATACTAAATATATCTATATATATATATTGAATTTATATTATAAGATAGAAAGAAATAAAAATGAAATTGTTGTTATTTTTTTGTTATTTTGAGTTTTTATATTAGAATTCAAATATAATTTATGTTCAAATATAATTTTAATTTTATTAATTTAAGAAATTTGTTATTTGAGAAAAATAACTTTTATATTATGGATATTAGAAATCCTATCTACCTTTATCCCACCTCCCTCATAAAATAATTTTATCCGGGCTATATCTTTTTTATATCCAACTTTATCCTATCTTAGGTAGGAACCAAACACAAAATAGGATAAATTTTTATCCTATTTTGAATTTGATCATGACTACCAAACGTCGAATTATTTATCTTCATTATGACCATAATTTTTAAAGCTATTAACTTTATCCTCCCCCAACTTAACTAGATAATGCATTCTTTCCTAATTTGGCACCTCCCATGTCCCGCCCTGAGCCCCAACGAGCTCGCGACAACCCTCCAACGGTCGTAATAAACGCGATGTCCTAGGACGCATCGCCGACCCAAACGAAACACCCAAATTAAACCACGAGCGGAAGCGAATTTAAATCAACACAGACAATAACCAATGACGACGGGATAGCACTTGCATAAATCAAACAGTTGCTTACAACATCCATAAACATAACATTAAATCACATTCATCAAAAGGGGCAGTGGTTGGGTAGCGTACTTCACTATACAAAAAGGGGACATCCACAAAAGGGATGAAGCATCAATATCCAACACCACTCCCGGTCTCCGAATCGCATGTGACGACTGTTCGTCACTCCAAACCTGAAAATATTTAATAACGGAGGATGAGATAAATCTCAATAAGTAGACAACCTAAACCCCACGTAGGCCAATGTGTACCCAGACGAGTCTCAACATGCAATCTAACAATCGACATACTAGAACTCACATAAACATACATACCTCGCCTCCATGCACACGCCAACTCTGCATATCAGTCAAACACTAAAACACATCCAGCACAACATGTACTCGGAACACACAGAGATTTCCCATGCATAATGCATCCACACTCGCGCGTGTCCCGATTATAAGGTAAAACCACTTGGGCACGTCTCATACCATGCCTAGCAGTATTCACCCCATAATCAAACACTATGCAACATGCATGGTCCAGCCAACTTTCTCATGACCTGGGTCAACACCCCTCAGGCCCAACTTTCCTTCCACAGCTCGCGTAAACACGCCTCAAGCCCATTCTCACGACCCGCGTAAACACGCCTCAGGTCCTTTCTCACAGCCCGCATAAACACGCCTCAGGCCCATTCTCACGACCCGCGTAAACACGCCTCAGGTCCTTTCTCACAGCCCGCGTAAACACGCCTCAGGCTCAGCCCTCCGATCAATCTGGGCTCAGTCCCGCGTAACCACGCCTCAAGACATTTCTTTCTTTCCAATGACCCGCGTAAACACGCCTCAGGTCTTTTCTTGCCTTTTTCACCACACCCGCGTAACCACGCCTCAGGTTGGCAGCCCTCCGATCAATCCGGGTTTTGTCCAATGACCCGCGTAAACACGCCTCAGGTCTATCTGCCTCCCACAACCAAGCACATGCGTCACATAATGCATTCATTCACTATCCATGTCATTCACAAGCTCAAATATTGCTCAAACGTACGCATCTTACCCACAAATCAATTCAGCCCGCACACGCCTCACAATTCCACCAATTCTATGCCAATCACATAATCAAACCACACCTTAATAAGCTCAATCGCCAATCATCCCAATCAATCCATGCAAATATCAAACTCATTCCAGAAAGCATCACAATTTAACCACATTGCCCAACCATCAATCTTACACATTACACATACTCAATTTCAAGTCCTAAGCTCGCCACACTAGCCCACCAATCTGGCGTTCAAGCCGGCCACATTCAAATATCCAATTCACCCATAAGCACCACGACAGCCCAATCATCGAACCCATTTCAATCAGTCACTAAATTAGCCACAAATCACCCCAATTTAATCCACCAACTAGCCACAATATCAATGCAATTTAGCCTACCAATGGACCACATGCAAATATCAATAATAGCCTTAACTTAGCCACTAAACTGGTACTAATCGACCCCTAAACAAGTCTAATAATACACATTATACTAGGTAAGGTTTAGGAAGTCACTTACCTAAATTTGGCTTGGGACAAACCCGCACGGGCTCAAAATGGCCCGGGTGAACAGTAACGAGCTCGGCACGGGCTGGGGCGGACGCGTTACTTATTTTAAGGTACCGGTGTCCGCACACCTCGCACTCCCAATTTCCCCCCTGTATCTTTGTCTTCCACAGGGAAAGGATACTCTAGTGGTTTTACATCCCGGTAATCCCGAAGTCCGGACGAAGACCGAGATGAAACCTCTCAAGGATTTACTCGGGTCCGTTCTAAAAGACTGATGTATAAAATGATTTTACAGGCTGATTGAACGTTAAAGTATGATCACTTGTGTCATTTGAACATCCACACACACAATTAGCACACGACCTTATTTAGTGCGCAAATTCGCAAGCGTTGTTCCCAACCATTACTCAAATAAACCAATGGATACCAAATATCATGTTCGATGCAGGGAGCAGTTGGAATCCAAAGAGGGTAACTCCATCGTTATCGCAGGGGACAAGAGCCTCGCGGGTGGGGACAAAGCTCCGTTTCTTGGCTTCTGTGCGTTGGAACCAACAAAACCATGAAAAACAACGACGCGTTGGCTTCTTTTTCTACCCCAATTTGTTCACTTTTTTTTAACACTCCATCGCGGTTCACATGCCAACTCTTGTATCGTAATCCCAACACGGGCCAACCAACGATGGACAAGAAAAGCCTGCCTGCTTCATACCTACGACCTCTGCTGAGATAAGAAGAAGCTGGGACGACGTACTATACTACTAGCTTTCCAAATACGCCCACGCACGTCAGAACGAAACCAAAGTCAAAAGTAAAAGCACTGCCCCTCTGCTAATTTACAGAAGAGACGTATACCAAGAAAAAGAAAAGGAGCAAGCAGTCACAACAAGGAGAAAAAATAAAAACAGAGCAGTTTCAGTCAGTACAAGCGTGGCTTAGGTGGGCGAGCCCAATGTGCATGCCTGCAAAGAAAAAAAGTAGCGAAACCCACCCTCCATTGACCATCACTTTGCTGATGTACGTAACACCCAACTCCAAAAAGTTGTGGAACAGAGCAGATTTTCTAGCAGATTTCTACGCTTCTTTTTTTGCAGAAAATGTACTGAACTAAACTGAGCTAAACTACCATGAAGGAGAAGTAGATGGCGTTCCTGTGGACGAGAACGAGAGGCCATTGTTGCTATGCGAATGAGAGTCGCTCCCTGATGTGCACAGAGACCCTGCATCTCTTAATGAAACAGAGCAGGCCTGAGCGGGGAGTTTCTTCATTGGGGTCAATGGAGGAGTGGCGGACGACGGTTCCGCCTCTTCTATGTCTCTGCTGTCATCGTCGCTGGAAGAAGCCCCGGCCTCTAACCTCGACGGCGACGAGTCCGGAGTCTCAAATGGAGTGTTCACTTGCCGATTCGGGCAGTTCACGTCATTGTCGTAGATGGGGTTCGATATGTAAACCAAATGTTCGGATGTAATCCCGCAGTTGTAACTTCCTTGCGCGGGGAAGTTCTGAACATGCTGCGCCATGCTAACGGAGGCGAAATTCGGGGAAGAAGCGGCGGCGAGACCGATTTGGCGGGGGCTCGGCTTCGGTTCTGCCCGGCTGGGGTCGGGGGAAACCGCGGGGAACAGGAGGCTCCGGGGGGCATCGAGGACGCCCTGCGCGTAGAAGCTGCTGAGATGAGAAGCGCGCGGCAGGGGATCGGAAAGGGGGCTAGCGGCGGTGGGAGGGGCGGAGACCGGGGCGTTCGAGGTGGCGGCGGTCTTCTGGAGCCTGCGCCGGCGAAGCAGGAGAGAGCAGTAGAGCTCGGCCAGAAGAACAAGGACGAGGCCCAGCACGATGGCGAGGCTTCCCGCCATCACCAGCGTTGCTCCCATGATCACCTGCGATGTCCCCTTCATCTCTCCCTCTCCCTCTCTCTCTCTCTCTCTCTCTAAGAGTATGTGTACGAGTCTAGAGAGAGGTTTGGATGCTTTTTGAAGAACGAGCGTAGAGGAAGAGAGAGAGAGAGAGAGATATTTTATGGAGGGTACAGGGGTATAAGAAGTTGATTTTGGGGGGAAAGTGGCTCTGGGTTCCTCTAAAAGGGAAAAGAGGGACTCGGTGAAAGGCGAATCTTGCACGGCATTGGACCTCTGGAATGTTTTGGGAGGGCACACTTCACTTGAGAGGCTTCTGTTTCTGGGGTTGTCTGACTCTGACAACAACACGACGTTTACTTTATGCAACGCTCTTCGTTTCAACAAGTCAAAAACATCATACAAAGATGCAGCAGGAAAAACCACCGAGAAATAAGCACAAATAACAAGAGCAACCAACGCAACATGCTCCGCTTCAACACTGACCTGGTCATATGCTATGCCTGCTACTAATAACGCTTTGCGGCAAAAGTCAAAAATGAATCTAAGACTACTGAACTCGCTTTTTAAAGGTGAGACTCCGGTACAAGTAGCAACACTGGCACAATCAATTCTACTTCTGTCCTGTATATATCAATCAGTAGAACAGAGTGCTATATCATGAAATGCCAAGGAAACACTACCACAACATCATTTTCCCTCGACAATCGGGTTCGTGGAATAACTGAACGGTAGGCCACTACGGAGAAAAGTGAGTTTGCCTCTCGCAAATGCAAATGCTCTAAGACTAAGTACAATCCGATGTGTTAAACAATCTTGTGGAGGCACTTTGCTCGACGGTGCTCGGCGTGTAAAATTGCTAATAATATCTTCATGAGATGGTAGAACACACTGGGTGGCAATGCAGGCAGATCTGATGTAACCCAGGACAGTGTCACAGTAGTGTATCATTCTGCCGATGGATCCGCTTAACTTCCTCTTAATGCTGCAATTCGAGCTGCCAAATCATCATAATCTGGCAAGTTTGGATGCACGTGCCGTGCCGGGTTGGGCCTGTCAGGCTGAAATGAAGCAGCACGAGCAAAAACCTTGGCTGGCGCCAATGGGGCTGTTGTTTGTTCACGCGGGAGGGAAACTGATCGTGGAGGAAGTGAAACGATTTCCGAATCCTCATCGTACTTAGGCCTGCTACTATCAACTGGGGACCCACCAACATCAGCGCCTGAGCCATGAGCACGACGGCTTCTACTACTTCTTCTCACTTTTCCAGGTTCATGGGCAGAAGGTTTCTTACTGTAGTGCATCAACAGCTTGTCAATGATCCTTTCCTCCTCATCTTTCTGGTCACGCTCATCATCAAACAGTATCTGCAGGCCACGTCTCGAATCATCTTTTCTCCTACTTCTTGATGGTCTTCTTCCAGTATGAGCATCCTCGTAATCAATCTCGTCATGAGCAGATCGTGATTTTGAATGTTTCCGCCTTGCTGATTTTGGTTTTGGGATGGGATAACCAGGCATGTTATCTTGGTAACGGAGCTGTTCATTATCACCATGACTGGTCGCTCTTACCAGCCCAACATCCTTTCTCTCATCATCAGGACAAGATGAACCTAAATGGACTTTCTGAATAAATGGACCAGGAATTTCGCTTTTAGGTATTGAAGGCACTTTCGAGCCTTCAAAACTAAACTCCGATTTGGATCCATACTTGCCATCCTTCGGGGGTTTAACATTTGGCTTAACATAAGGAGGTGGCAGGGGACTTTTGCAGTATGACCTATCTATCTCTTCTCCCTTGGCCTTTCTCAATGAGTTGGCAGCACGGTCTTCATTGCCATTATCGTCATTAGCAGATGGGGCATCCCTAACATCTGTCTTCATGTAGGTTCCAGCAGAATTAGGCAGCGTGCCTTGTTTCCGGTGAAGTGAACCATCCCTGTGCTCCCTTTCTGGGACAGTTCTCTCCCTTCTGTTCTGGTGCTTCAATCCACCATCAGTGTCTTTATATGCTCTTTCATGAGATGAAGCACCTGAGTTTATTGGTTTCAGGCTACTATCCTCCTCGATTTTATAAGAGCTGTGGCCAAGCCTTCCTCGTGGAGTACCATTAGCATCCTTGTGTCGTCTTTCATGAGATGAAGCTTTCAAGATAGTACCCTCCTCGGTTTTATAAGAGGGAAGACCAGTCCTTCCTTGTTGGGTATCATGATCATCTTTCCTCGAGATGACAACGTCCTCAAACGCATTCCGCTTGTTGCCGGTTGATTCAAGCTTTGGTTGAGGATTGAGGCCATTTCTTCTAAAGCCACTGGCTTCCATGTTATTGCGGTATCTCTGCCCTTCATCCACTTCTTCAAAACTTTGCTTTTGGGGGAAATTCAGATTCTCTCCTTTTAAAGGTATATACTTGGCATTCGTTAATTTAGAGTAATCAGTGGCATTGGAAAGTCCGTGATCTTTTGGCTGTTCCTGCAAGACACACAATTAGAGTCAGGTTATGAATAGATGCGCTTAGAGATCATCTTAGCTTTTCATGTAATGATAGTCTAACACTCGAATACAACCAAAGCGCAAGAGCTTACCTGGACAGTTGAAGAGGTTCTGGACATTCTCTGTTCAAAAGCCCTTGAATCCCACCGTATCGAAAACTCTGATGCTATGTCGTGCATTAGCTTAACTTTCTTTTCCAGAGTAGAAGGGATTCCAGCTAATTTATTGGAAAACTGAGAGTATTTCAGGTAATTAGTAACATAGCAAAGCCGCAAATTAAAAGCTTAGCGAGCATCATCTGAGGTAGGGAGTACCTCTTGATTTATGAAACAGTCCAAGGAATTTCCGTATCTCTCTTGGAAAATCTTCCTAAGGTCACGCAACTCTGGCAAATCAGAAAATCTTGCAGCAGCAAACATCAGGGAGGATACGGCCTCTCGACATTCCTCTGGGCATTCACTGAAAAGAACAATGCAGTAAATGAATGATTATCTTACCTAAAAATGCTTCAGTCTAGTGTAAAACAGCAAGAACAGTTTTTGGTCAGAAGAGTTAAGAGGTAACACGCTAAAGCTCTAGCAGAGTTTATATCCCAGTACTTCATGACGAAAGCATTTAACCGGTAAAAAATAAGGTTTTATTGTCGCTCTCCCAGTGGTAATGTTTGACATCATGGAAATCGCCACCCTTTTTGTCTTGCAATTATCATATATTTTCTTTTTGGCGTTTCAGTTGATAGAAGAATGTTTTCTCGACAAAGATGTTCAACAGCTAGGAAGAAATATATATAGAGGAAAATAAGAAAGTAGTCTTCAAGCCAATGACCACTAATAACTGCAGTGCAATACCTGGCAAAAAGAAATGCAGAGTTCATATACCATGTAACTTCAAAAAGGTATAGTCGTTCATCAGAATGCTTGCTTCAGAAAGAGCAACAGCATCTGTAAATAAACATCGGCGACTTGCTACATAGCAACACCAGTTGCTCATTAGCATCCCCAACTGATGTCAATTTGACTTGCATGTTCCATGAGACTAAGCAACTCAATTATCACGGTCTATGTACCAAGTGGGCATGGTCGCAGGATATTTATTTACAGGATATATTGGCAAATGGGAGTTTAGAAAAGAGTCGTGTCTCTTTTTCCGTGGCAAAGTAAGAATAGTTGAGTTAAAGAGCTACGGACTGCAATCCTTCTCAAAAAAGATGAACTATTTCCACCAATTACTTGCTAAAGTATGGCAATATCCTCGGAGTTGAAGGGCATACCTCTGTTTTTGCATTGTCGACATGTGCTTCAGCAAGAACTCGCAGCACAGCTCGACGAAATCGTAACATGACGAGAGCGTCAATTCAACCAGAAGCCCTTCAGCCTGTTCCAGCATTCACCACAGAGATAACTCGTTTAAGGATGGCACGCACACGCAAGAAACAGTTGGAGCAATCGAACATACCGATGTTAAGCACAATACCGAAAGAAATAAACAATTTCCACTCAAGATCTATGGCAAAAACAACCGTTGTCCATTCTACATTCTCTTAATTCTACCTCTAAATGCAACTGCACCTTTTAGCACTTTCGCAACTCCAAATAATTTGGACACGATAGCGATTCGATTTTTTCCCCTCCCGTTCCGTTTGTAAGAAGCAAAACAAGTTTCAAAGAACGATTCAAATGTCCCAAAAATCGCCATCTCCTCGCAGCGTTCACGCCGTCATTCTTTACCGGGCGACTACTATCGCCTCCAAATCAGGCCACGCCGAAAAAGGGACCGGAATCGCAGCATCGAGGGAGCAGCAGCGCACCGGAATCACTCACCCGTCCGTAAGCGTTGACATCGAGGCCGTTAGCGAGGAGATCGGCCATATCCTTCTTCAGGAACTTCTGCGTCGCCTGCCTCTTCCTCCGTATGACATCGATCCTCGATCTCGTCAGCTTGATCAGCGATTTACTGTCCCAAAAACAAAAGGCACCGGCCAAAGTCACGGCCCCCGAACACGGAAACAGAACAAGGACAGCTCCCTATACGCACACCAAAAGAAACAGAGCGAGAGAGAGAGGAGAGGAAGAGATCTGGGGGCTAACCACTTGGCGGTAAAGCCGCGGCCGAGCAAGCCGTCCAGCATCGTTCCCCGACCGGGCAGCGGAGCGATGATCGCTCCCTCCGTCGTCGTCGTCGGCGGCGGCGGCGACTCCTCCGGCGAGAGCGGCTCAGCAATGCACCGTGCTCCGATGCAGATCGAGCTCGGGCATGAGAGAGATAGAGAGAGAGAGAGAGAGAGACTGAAAATTGCACGGTAACGCAGAGAGAGAGAGAAGAAGGAGAAGAAGATGAGTCAGTGGTGAGCAGCAGGCACTTTTTTCAAAAAAAAAACTGGGCCTCAACTCGGCGAGTGGGACAGCGAGCGGAGCTCGAAGTTACGATAATGACCTCGCCCCCTTCCCCCGCCACCCCATGTTCTTGTTTTTTCTTTTTTTTTTTATTTCGAAGAGTTTAAGGTCAATCCTAAATATTCATTGTTAAATTGCACACGAGAATTTCTTAGATCTTTATCGAATAATGATTTTTATTGATCATCTTATTTTCGGGGGAAGATTCTCGAACTAGGGTGGAACGGCACCCAAGCCTGGTCCATCTCTTTGGGAAAGTATCAATTTCAATCCTAAAACATATCTTCTTGGATTTCCGGCGCAGTTCCAAACTCTTTTGATTGCTCGGATGTGATACGAAACCTCCGCATGGAATTTTAATAATAATCATATCGGTCGGATTTCACCTGAAGTCAGTGACGTGACGCTCCTGCCGAGGCGTGGACCAAAAATGAAGGGGAACTTGACAAAAAAAAAGTGATGAGTAAAATTAAGTCATGAAATTTATCATGAAAATACAATTGAGCCCTAAAACTTTCAAAAAGTGCAATCACGTCCTAAAACTTATCGTGAAAGTGTAATCGAATCTTAAAAATTTTAAAAAGTGCAATCGATTTCTAAAACTTGTTGCGAAAGTACAATCGAGTCCCAAAACTTTCGAAAAATGCAATCAATAGAAGGACTCAATTGGATCAAATTTTATAAGTTTCAGAAAACTTTAGGACTTAATTACACTCTTTTTAAATTTTAGGACTCGATTGCACTTTTGTGACAAGTTGTACGACTTGATTTCAATTTTTTGAAAGCCGCCAGCGTATGCGCTTACCCAAAAAAAAAAACAAGTACGGGAAAAGGACAAAAGAACTTTGCCGTTGGAAATGAATAGTTATCGGGATAAGTTTGAGGGCTCCCGATACACGTATTTCAAAAAAAAAAAAAAAAGCAGAAGGGGTAGTACAGGAAAAGGACAAAAGAACCGTGGCCGGGTTTGGGTGGAAAGAGAAAGGGATAGTTTGCCGTTGGATGTGGGGACTTTCAGCTGGTCAAATGGATGAGGAGTGGATGATGATGATGGTGATGTGGGGCGAACCGTAAATGATGGCGCAAGGAATCTCTTGAGCTGGACCGCATATCTTAATGCTAATTAAGTGGGGGTGTTTTAGTCCCACTTTGGTCCTTAATTATATATTTATTTATTTATTTTTTGGCTTCTTTCATTGAGAGAGGGATCATAGTTAATTTAAAATCCTAAATAGCACATGACAATATAAAAAAAGCATGCTCGATTAACCGATTTCGATAAATTTTCGGCATTCATCCACGACCTTGCGCATTAAATTCCAAGGCTTTTCTGTATACTTTCTTTTTTTGGGTAAACTATTAAGATGCGAAAGAAAGTGAAAAATCGAAGTAATTTGAAGATGCTTTGTTTCGTTTTGGTTCTTGTGTTTCGAAATTTTTCCACGATTTCTTAGATATACAAAAAAAAGTATATTGAAATTTTAGTTTGGACTTTAAAGCTGCTTCAAAATCTTTAGTTCTTGAGTGCAGCGCACTGAACATAATCTGCTGCTAGATAATATGGCACGGCATGCCACGTCCACATATGAGACGTGAAATCGAAAGCGGCAACAATTGAATTATAACTCCATTTCACGTTTGATCAATTCTTTTCTGCTATCGAAGAAACTTTAAAAAAAGAAAAGAAGCGATATGTATTTTGAAGTATCATATATGAGCAACTCAATTGTTACCTACTAAAGAAGTCCGGTTCATTTTTTGAAAAGATAGTACAAATGAAGGTCTAGTTTTTTTTTTTTTTTTTTGGCAAACAAAATAAAGGTCTAGTTGAGTAATCACTAATTAGACACAAACATTTATGAAGAATCACCCACTGCCTTCTTCTTCACCATTGCCTCCACTTTCAATACCCACCCACCTAAATAGCGATGAAAAAGAAGAAGCGAAACCCTCCACCCACTCAATATATATATATTCTACATATTGATTATTTTGAACCAAAAGAAAACTTTTTGGTGGAATAGTCACGTTACGTAGAATATCTTCGCTCTCAATAGTTACATACAAGTCTATAGAACATAGAAAGGCAGGATGCCCATGACGCGTACTTGTGGGATGAACCAAATCCTCATTGAATTTGACTTTTCCATTAGAGAGGGGGCTCGAACATGTTCGGTAGTACCATCTGTGAATACTCCGCCGATATGAAAAGTTCTTAGTGTTAGTTGAGGCCCTGGTTCTCCAAATTCAAATCCTGGATTTACAAATTGAGAGAGATGTTGAGAGAAATCAAGAATTCTCACTATATATATATATATATAATAACCACCCACTTAAATAGTGAAAAGAAGAAGAAGAAAGAAACCACTCACCCACTCAATTATATATATAATAACCACCCACTTAAATAGTGAAAAAAAGAAAAAAAAAAGTAGGGAAAAAAGAAGAAGAAAGAAACCGCCCACCCACTCGATTTTCACCATAAAAATTGAAAATACACACCACTCTCTCTTCATCAAATAATCATTCGAATCATACACGTTTAATAACTACCCACTGCATATTCACGTAATTAAATATTCACGAAAATCCTTAAGAAAAGATTCATTTTTCTTTTGTACTCAATCCATGCTAAGCACTGCATCTCCACGTAATTAAATATTCACGAAAAGATTAATTCTCGATAAATCATTCGTGAAACAACGTGAGCACTATACAAAAAGTGAATTAACCGAGTCACAAAATTTATTTTGAAATAAAGTTGAAGTTACAGTAGCAATGTAAATCTAATTTACTCATACACGATCTAGCATGTATAACTTTTTTGCAATAATTACACAAATGGTCCATAAGTTTTGGCCCAATGTACAATGTAATCCCCAAAATGTTGTCCCTAAATTTGAATTAATGGAATGACAATATTGAACATTTTCATATAACTCAAGGACTAAATTGAACATATATCAAAAGTTTAAATATTATATCGAACAAATTAAAAGTTCGGGAACGACATTGCACATTCGGCCAAAGTTCATTGATCGCATTGGACAAATTAAAAGTTCGGGAACCACATTACATATCGGGTCAAAATTTAAAGATTATTCGTGTGATTTTTTTCTGTTCTATCCGCTACATGGCCCCCATCTAGAAGAAGAATCCAGCAACGGATCCTTTTATTAATTGGGCGTTTTTATTTTATTTATGTTGTTAGCTGTTCAGGTGGCAGAGTTATCTATTTCTCTGTTTAATAGGGGAAAGAAAAACCGACAACGACAAAGAATTTTTAGATTTCACGAAGTATTTGCATTTTTTGTTAATTTAAATTCGGTGAAAACTTAATTTTTTTTAATTATTTCTCTCATGAAGCAGGACGACAACCTCGGCAAGGCCTGATGAGTACGGACAGGACAGTTTTGTCAGCTTTTAGAAAGCGTGATTGATTGAATGATTTTAATAAATTCGATATTTATCCACGATATGCCCAGTAAATTTTAACGCTTCTACTACACTTTCATACACGAAAGCAAGTAAAAAATCAAAGCAAATCGAAGATGCTTTGTTTTGCTTTGGTTCTTATGTTTTGTATTTTTCCACGATTCTTAGATATACAAAAGTATATTGGCATTTCACTTTGGACTTTAAAACTAATTCATAATCTTTCGTTTTTGAGTTATAATTTTTAGTTTTTTGAGTGTAGCACGCTGAACTCGATTTGCCGCTAAATAATATGGCACGACAAGCCACGTCCAAATACGAGACATGAAATCAAAAGCGGCGACAATTGAACTCTAACTCCATTTCATTTTTCATCGATTCTTCTTCTCTATCGAAGAAACTTTAATAAAACAAAAAAAATGTGGCGAAGAGGATCTTTCTATTTACTATGAAAGCATTTAACTTTTTGCACTTATCACATTTGACCAATTCAAGAGGAGATAGACACTAGAAGTGCCAAAAGTTGTATACGGCGCTCACTTTAGTGTTAAAAGTTTGTTTCGGATCACTTAGGTACCATTTACAAAAAAAAACGATCACTTAAGTGCCAAATCCGATATGGATTGCCGGAAATCTTACGTAGTAATATTTTATTAATTTCTTAATCCTACGTGGCTCGCCGGCGTGCCCGGTCAGCATATAACTCATAAACGACGTCGTCTAAAAGTTATAAATAGTGATCGTTTAAGTGTCAAATTTTTTTTAAGTGATCACTTCAGTGCTAGTTATTATTACAAAATGATCACTTCAGTGCCAGTTGGATTGTGCGACGTCGTTTTGGATGTCCACGTGGAGTGAATTTTTAAAAAATATATATCAAGTCATATTAACAAATTTAATTATAAAATGCCACGTAATCAATTAAAGCGATCGTTTTTTTTTTTCGATTTGACACTTAAGTGATAATTTTTTCTTTGATTTTGCACTTAAGCGATAAAAAAAAACTTTTGTCACTAAAGTGAGCGTCGTACACAACTTTTGACGCTTCTAGTATTTTTCTCTCCCAATTCAATTATCCACCGAAGAAGTCGGGTTCAAGGTTAGTTGAGTAATCACTAATCACACTCAACACACACGCGCACACAGAGTTATGAGTCGCCCACTGCTTTCTTCACCATGTCCTCCACTTTCAATAACCACCCACTTAAATAGTGAAAGAAAAAAAAAAACCACCCACCCACTCAATTTTCTCCTCCACCATCAAAACCAATATATACATACACACACAAAATTCAATTCACACGTATTTTAATAACTACCCACTGCATATCCACTTAATTAAATATTCGCGAAAATCCTAAAAAAAAAAAAGAAACATTTTTCTTCGTACTTAATCTAGTGTATATAATTTATTCCGAAATATAGTTAAAGTAATTGCAGCAATGAAAATCTAGTTGAAATCATGTATAATCTTACACACATAATTTTTTTGTCCACCAAGCTGAGCTGCATTAATTCTCACATGACCACATTTCTAGGAAAAGATTATAACAAATTCTTCTATTAATAGGGCATTTTATTTTTTATTTATATTTTAGTTGTTCAGGTGGAGGAGTACAGATTTCTCTGTCTAACCGGGGGAAGAAAAACCGTCAATCACGAAAAATCTTACGAATTATTTTGCATTTTAATGTAATTTAAATACGGGGCAAACTCTTTTTATTTTTTTAATAATTTTTTCTTATATAGGAAGACGACAACCTAGGCAAGACCAAGTCCGGAAAGAACAGCTATGGCCCCGTTTGGTTCAGCATTTCCAATGCTCATTTGGGCTCTAAAGGTCCTTGGCCAAATGCAAATGGTGTTTGGCAAATTTTTTTACTCACTTTGGGGAGATGCAATTATATTTCCAATGCTCATTTGACCAAAGCACCTTGAAAGGTCCATTGGGAATGCTCATTTTCGAAATGCAAATGCTTATCGTTTCACCGGAACCTGTTCGTCTTCTCCCTGCAGCCCGCCGACATTGCTGAGGCTAGCCCGGCCGACGACCACCGCCGGGAGTCGCGGCTACCGACGGCCTGCGACCACCGACCTCGGGAGTCGCCTCGGCGCTCAACCTCGGGCGCGCCGAGGTCCGCGACCCAGGCGGCGGGTCGCCGGGGACCTCGGGAGTAGCGCGACCTCGGGTGTCGCCGAGGTCGAGCGACCCGGGCGGCGCCTCGGGTCGCGCGACCTCGGTGTCGCCCAGCGCGGCGGCATCGCCGGGTCGGGCTACCCCTCGGGCGGCGGCCGCTGGGTCGCGCGACCTCGGTGTCGCCCGAGGTCAGCGATCCAGCCGGTCGCCGGGTCGCGCGACCACCGCTCGGGGTCGCTGCCACCCTCGCGGCGGCCGCCCAGGGTCGCGCGACCTAAGGCTGGGTCAGCCCGGGTCGCCACCTCGAGGGCGACTCCGCCTGGCCTCGAGGTCGCGTGACCCAGCGGCCGTCGCCTGAGGGCCGCCGCCGCGCGACCGCCGCCCGAGGTCGAGCGACGGCCGCCGGCGCCGGATCTGGCTCGCCGGCGGCTGTAGCCCCTCGCCGGAACTGTTCATCCAAAGAGTATCTTTTTTTTGAAAAATAAAAACCTCTCAAAGCTCATTTGTAAAAAAATAACCAAACACAATTGCATTTTTTCAAATGGCTTTCAAATGATTTTTTACCAAACGCCATTTGTATTTCCCTAAAGTGACTTTCACCTAAAGGTATTTGCATTCTCCAAATGAGCATTGGAAATGCTGAACCAAACGGACCTTATGTCAGCTATTAGAAAGTTGGAGAAATAACTAACTTCCCACTTGTTAAGGATATATATATCGGTAAAAAGAAAAGGTAATATATATATATATTATAAAAAAAGTAATATATATTTTTGGACCTAAAAAAGATAATATATTTTTTATTCCACCAAAAAAAAAGATAATATATTTTGGACTGTCTCTATAATTTTCTAAGGTTGGTTTTCAATTGTCTTTTTCATTGTTCATTTAAGCCCATCACTTTGCAGTTGATCAACAACTTATTCGGCCTTTTTTCTTTCTAAAATAAAAGATCACCTATGAAAATTATGCTAATCATACATCTATTGCAAAGGGAAATGTTGTAATTCTTCAAGGTCTAAATTAATTTAAGGGTGAGTTTTTTTCGCAGAAAATGAATGAACAAAAAACATTTTTCGTGTTGTGAATAATGAAAAAAATTTCTATTGACTAATTATTTCAAGCGTGGAAACGATCATTTTTGGAAAATTATTTTTGGGTTCATATTTTTGGAAAATTCGGATCATCTCCATATTTAGCTCATTTCTAGTGATTGAACCGTCAATTATTCTGGATTGTCGTACAGGTACTTTGAAAATCAGTTTCTAATCTCATTTAGTGTTGCTTTTCATTGAACCCCATGAACTAATCGGGTCAGGTTCATCATTTAGGCCCAATTAGCTGGCCCATACCAATTTTCATTTTTAGGTGAAATAGTTGGGCCTCGAAATGTGGCATAGCTCAATGCTAGTACCTACTAACATTGAGCTTTCAAAGCATTTTCAATGCCGAAACCTTTGTTTAATGAAGTTTTGCTGAGTTCCTTTTTTGTCCTCAAAAATTTACTAAAAATCCAAGTTTACCCTTTTTTAAAAACAAAACCCTAGATCTGCAACCCCGTCTCTTCCCTTTGTTGCTCTAGACCCAACGCTTTCTCACATCTCTGCTCCCTCTCCTTTTGCGTTTTTCTTTCGCTCGACGCGCTCAATCGGTGCTTGATCGACCGCGCTCGCTCGACGCCCTTCCCGCTCCCACGCGTTATCTTATAGGCTTGCGCTCGCTCGGCGCTTGTCGCTCGCGCTTCCACGCTTGATCGACCGCGCTCCCTCTCCTTTGTTTTCTCTCTCGCTGACACGCCCGCTCGACGGCACTCCTCGCTCGACCACGCTCCCTGCAGGTTCAATCTCTCATTCATCTTGTTTTTGTGTTATTTTTCGCCTTGTTTTTATTAGGTGTGAAGGCACAAAAAGAGAGGTTTCGAGTGATTATTTGTGAAACTGTTTTATTGCCTCTGTTTGTTTCTTCTTCTTGGTAAATGGAAAGTGATCGGAGGAATGATATTTGTTGCACAAGGAGGAACTTGAGTTCTACACCACTCATTAAGTCTAAAATTGGGGGCGAGCAAAAGTACTCTCAGTGAGTTGTTTCATGGGAAGATTAGTGAAAATTGGTTGAGCCAAACGTAAATTCTAAGCTTGATTAGCTGCTCTTAATCTACACTACTAATCAAAGTAGAAAGATGATAGAAAGATAAAAGATGTCAGCAATCCTTGTGCTGGACTCCTTTGGAAAGGCTAATGAGTGTGCTAGTGAGATTATTGATTCGAAGGTTAACACTTCTTCAAAAGTGCCTATTCCAAAACCATAAAGATTGCCAAAGCTGATGGTAAAGAAAGCAGGAATGTCCTGAGGTGAACTTTGTGGCTACCTTGTTATCAAGTTCTCTGAATCTTTTGGATGGTTTAGTTAACACTCAAGCGAGTTTATTGAATTGCAGACCCGTCTCTCTGTTCTTTAGCCTCTTTTGCTGTCTCTATTTGGTCAATATTTTATTGAATTGCGGAACTAACACTGAAGCGAGTTTGTATAAATTGAGAAGGAGATATTCTGGTTTGTTTGGCCAAGAGATTGTAGAACCGTCGTTATAGTACCAAGGAGCTGGTATTGCTTGATGGGTTGTTTTAAGGAGCTAGTATTGCTTGATGGGTTGTTTTAAGTCCTTGAATTGGATGATATGTTTACTCATATTGAATTAGTGGTTTTTATACTTTAATATATGCATGTGGTATATGTTGATTAAATTTACATTTTTTGTGTAGGTAAATACTATTTAGTAGATTCTGGATATCCAAATCACACAGGTTACTTGGGTCCATACAAAGAAGTTAGGTATCATTTGCCGGAGTTTCAACGAGGTCAAGACCTACTGGCTATAAAGAAGTGTTCAACCGTGCCCACTCCTCACTGCGATCAGAGATTGAGCGTGCCTTTGGCGTATTGAAGAAGAAGTGGAAGATTCTAAAGAGCATGCCAAGTTATCCATACAAAAGCAAGTGAAAATTGTGATAGAAGAATGACTTTGCATAATTATATACGAAGAAATGCCGTGAATGATGCACATTTTGCGAAGTGGATTTGGATCCCAATTTATATACCGATGATGTAAATGAGGAGAGTAGTGCCTCAAATGATGACTTAGCTTCGACATGGCACGTTTACGTGATCAAATAGCTATAAGTTTAGGAAATATTTAACAATGTTTGTAATTTTTAAGGATAATGAATTTCTTTCGTCGGGCATATGTTATCATGATTATTGTAATGCTTTTTAAATTAAGAAAGAGACCACTTTGATGTGAATTTTCCATTTGAATTTTTTAGCAAAAGAATAAATTTTATTTTTTAAATAAAATTATTTACACAATATCTTTTAACATTATTGTCGATATTTGAATTAAAAAAGTTGCAGACCTTTTTTTTCAATTTTAACCCAATTAAAAATTAAAACTTTAAATTAATCACCCAAATGGACTTTCCAAATGTGTTTTCACCAAACAGCTTTTCTCTTAAAGTTGCTTTTCAAAGCAAAGTTTACCAAACGGTCTTTGCATTTCCCCAAAGCCCTTTAAAGCTAAACCGCTTTGCATTTTCCTAAAACTCCTTCAAAATCTTTGAACCAAACGCAGCCTTATTGCTTTTCATTGGACTACTCTAGGTCCTAGGACCAAGGTTCAATCCCCAATTCTTAGAATTGAAAACCAGACCGGATCGGAACCGATTACCTCTAATAATTACCCAAACCTAAATCTATTGTACATGTAGCCAATTCAAGCCTTAAAATTTTCAATTGTGCTAATTTAGTCCTAAATTTAGTATTAAACCTTGCATTGTGCTAATTTAGTCCTAAATTTTTTAATAATTTGCCAATTTAGTCCTAAACCTATTATTTGGATATTTTGCCAGAATGACTATATTGACAAATCGTCAAAAAATTTAGAACTAAATTGACAAAGATTTAGGATTAAATTGATAAATCGTCAAAAAGTTTATGACTAAATTGGATAATCGTCAAAAGGTTACGACTAAATTGGCACAATTATAAGGTTTATGACTGAATTCGCCTCCATACAATATATTTCGAACCTTTTAGACAATTTTCGTCTAATAAGTGGCTGCCCTTTGTAATCTTAGGTCAAAGCACACTTTTTGATCGCATCATAATGTAAATCATTTACCTGGAAAAATAGAGAATTTTTCCATATATGATCTCTTCACCATCACATGTTACAAGTAAGTCAACATACTGCTCAGCAGCTTTTGTTGCCAAATGAAGATAAAACTCGAGTTTGCGAGATATAACTCTGTATTTGATTTCGAGGTATTGATCAAAACGTTCATCGTTAATGACGATCGCCGATACATTCGCTAATTAAGTGAACGAGGACTATCCATCTCTATAACATGGAAAATGAATCTTTCAAGGGACATCAACCGAAAAGAAAGAACAAAGCGAAACCGAAAACTCTGCATCACCAGAAGCACCTCAAGAAATTGATGAGAAAATGGAACAAGTAGTTCTCGTGGTTGAGCAGCTCGTGCCGGACCAGCCTCTCCAGGACGACGCTCTGCGGCAGCAGGGTGCTGTAGTACAGGATGGTGGCCACGGAGGCGGCGGGCTCACCGACGAACGACGTCACTAGCCTGACCAGTGATCGGAACATCAAAGTCGTTAGAGACTGCAAAAAAAACCTCTCTTTCATGCACGATTCGAAACCCATCATCAACTGTGCAACAGCTCAATGAGCTGATGACATCTTTTTGATGATTACCCAATCGAAACAGACATCAGAAGGAAAGAATGCGTGCACATACCATGGCTGGATTGGAGAGCTCAGGCCCAGAAAGAGATGTTAGCAATGGAGTCCGCACAGAGAGAGAGAGAGAGAGAGAGATTTAGAAAGATGGTCATGAGTTCTTTGATCTTGTCTCTATCTATGGATCTTCAGCGGTTGTTCAGACCTACCCGTCCATGTGCACATATGTTCAGTCAAAGCTTTTGCAGTTGTCCGTTCAGGAGACAACCGCAGTTCAAACGAATGCTGAAGGGTAGTTCAGAAGAATCAAAGACACGATGCTTGTTGGCGAAAGAGCAGACCGTATGCCACGTCGGGAGGCAATTCAACTCGTACTATGCGCCGGACGTATCGCGTGCGTATCATTTCGAATCTTTACATGTTACGTAGTAGCCAGGAGACATGGGTGATAATCGGATCTCGCTATTCCTCGAATTAGTTATTTTATTGCTAATTGATGTGCTAACAAGAGTCTTGGTTTTCCTTGTAAGGACAGAAGGTAAGATTGTGATTTCAAAGGCGAAGGCATTGGTGGGTCGATAAGCACGAGACTTGAAAAAGAAAATCGGGTGGCTGGGTAGGACCCGAGGTGGAAAAGAAATAAAGAACTCTTGCGTCGATCAGCTTGCTGATAGGTAGTGATGATTATTCAATAATCTTTTCGCCTATGGCTCAGCTTTAATTAGCTAGCAACCCCTTTGAGTTGATGGCACGGTGGCGACCACTAGCCGACCTAGCCTCGAACTGTTAAAGTTATTCCACATCAATTATGGAAGCGGTTGATTGGATCTCTCTCGTCTCAAAAGGTGAAGTTTTCTTTCACACTTATAAACTGACATTCAGCCCCTTAACCTAACAATCTCCTCCTCACACATCGAGCCCTTGATCGGAGAAGCAACAACTTGAGTCTCACACTCTGATATCAATGTTGGTAGTCTTAGACCTCTCTCACCCCAAAAACTAGCTTTAGGGTGAGGCACACTTATAAAGTGCCATGGGTCAGTATCAATAACCAGTATTTCACGTATGACTGTTGGGTCCAAACTTTTTAGTAACCTGGCTCTGATACGATAGTCTTAAGTCTCTCTCACCCCAAAATCTAGCTTTAAGGTGAGACTTTTCCTCACACTTATTATCTAACAAGTAACAACCACCGGTCCCTTTCACAACCAATGTGAGATAACCCAACAATGGTTCATTGGAGCTAGGGAGGTTTGTTCACAGCATTTGGTTCGGCCATGGTTCAATTGGCCAGCTATAGGTTTGTGCTACCAATGTTGATTCTGTTGAATAATAAGCTCTCATAGAGAAGTTTTGCTTCAACATAAACGTAACGAGTGAAAGAACAATCTTTTAGAACCTCAATCAAGCCAACAAGCCAATAAAAAGTAGAATTTTCAAGCACATGCAAGCTTGAAAAATTAAAAATTAGCGAGAAAAATAAAAACATTGAAAAGAAAACGTATAGTGTTGAGAGTGGGATTTGAACCCACGCCCTTTCGGACCAGAACCTTAATCTGGCGCCTTAGACCAACTCGGCCATCTCAACCTTCTTGTAACGTTTGGTCTCACAATATAGATTAACGCAGAGATATACAAATACAACCAAACCAATAACGATTCTCATCAACCATTAGACCTGACGATGATGGTGATCGTGATAAAGATTTCGTCAATGAGTGCCCCTTAGGGCATTTAATTAAGCACGTAATTAGGGAAAGTTAATAGACTCTCATGATGATAATCCATCTGACTGGACTCCATGGGCCTAAATTGAAAAGTAGGATCATCTTCTTGACGAGCTCTTCTGTGAAGAAGTGACTGTCAGTTTTTCATCTAGGCCCAATTAAGTTTGACCACACATGGTGGGTTTGGCCCCATCTGCCATTTTCTTCAAGATTGTGCTTAGTTTTTTACTCCTTTCTTTCATCTAAATTATGAATACATCGAGAGCACCCGATAGTCTTATAGCAGCAAACATTAGCAAGCCAAGGACATGGAATCAGCAAGAAGATTGCTCGGGTCTCTTGGTCCTTGGATTCGCGAGGAACGCAAGGGCATCGTTCGCAACTCGGATTGAAGCAATTTCCCCCTTCTGGAAACCCTAATTCGACTTCAAACGCGATCTGAGGAGCGAATGGAGTTGGAGTCGGACCACTCTGGTCTGATAAGAGGGGTGTTAAGCACGGATTGGGCTAGGGGGGACGCAAGTGTGCTTATCAATAAGGTCCGGGCCTGAATGAGGCTTTTCTCTTAAACATTACATTACGGTACATTTTCTCATAAGAAGGGCATCCACATACTATTAATCCTTGTTAATCGCAGTTCATTTAAGAACAGATGTAAACAGTGTCGTCATATATTAAATCGAATTGATGCATAACCAGAAATTGTCGAGTCAACCGCGACATAAAAGTGCCACCCGGTCTGAGGACCAACCACTATCGACCGCGTTTCACCCTAACCTCCAAAGCTAACATAGTCATGGACTCTTTCTTGCCAATTACTTGCTACGCCATCCTTCTCTCAATTGTCAACATCAAGACATATTTACTTGATCTTCAGCTTCCAAGCTAATTTCGACACATCATGGGGTCAAGGACTCGCGGATGTGACCCACCACCATATGATGTTGTTGAATGAACCTCCCCCCACCCCCTTCTCTTCCAATCAAATTGTTACTAGTTAAAGAAATTGGGTTCAATTCCCACAAGGCACATGGCTAGAAATAGCAAGCCTTGGTGGCATCATATCAATCGACACTTTTTTGGGTTTTATCCATCATTAGGGTACTTTGGATCTGAGCAGATCCTTAAAAAGTTTTATCTTGATTTTCATCTGGATTTCGATACCATCGGGATATAAAACTTCTAGAGGATATACCTTCTCCTTGTTGAAGAAAAAGATTCAGAAAGAATTTGGAGATGCGAGGCGTGCGAGTACCGATATATTAAAATAAGAAATACATACGTGGAGTCCATTCGGGTCAATCACTCGTGGATGTGACCCACCACCATATGATGCATTGAACAAGCCTCGCCCTCCCTCTCTTCCAATCAAATTGTTACTACTTAAAGAAATTGGGTTCAGCTCCCACGAGGCACATGGCCAGGAATAGCAAAGCAAAGCCTTGGTGGCATCATATCAATCGACACTTTTTTTTGGGGTTTTGTCTACTATTAGGGCATTCGCTTTTTCTAGTGGGAAAAGTCCAATTTTCGCAAAAGTCCAATTGACCCAAAAACATTCACTAAATGATCCTCCCAAATGTGCGTGTGCAATGACTTTTGTCCCCTCCTTAGGGGCGATTGAGATTGGTTGCCGTCAAGGTCACATCGCAATCTTTGGGATCGTTCCGTCATGGCACATGGATCGAATCAATTGGACGAACGAAGTAATGAGGCCAATCCCACAATGGAATATTCCCGGTTTGGTCTTTCGTTTCTTTTGTAGATCTTCAACACCTGAATTGGTCGAGTGCTCAAAATCGATCACGAGCATAATGTAAGATTTGCTTCTTTTGCACCGAGATTATTGACATTGTATCACATGCAAACTTAGCTTTGTCCCTTAATTCGCTCCGACGGCAAAGATCAAGGGTTACATGTTTATCGCTAATTTAATTTCATTTATTTTGGTGGGAATCTCTCGGAACGTAGCCTCTACTCATACGTTCTCAACGATCGAAACAGAAGCCTGTGCAATTACTATAGACAACGACAAAACTAGACATCTGATCAACCCTTTTATCGTTTGCTCCAATTTGACAGACGAAATAATGACAAATTTCTACTTAAGTTCCCGGGATCATTGTTGTTATAATACAAGTGCGTATGTAAATAGTGTAAGGGTTCTCTAGAATATGAAGATACAGCCACATATTAAGCTTTGCTTCGAGGGTTCACACACTCTTTGGTGAATCGACATGTCAATGTAGCCAAGCAGGCCATTAGCAACGATATGTTCCTTTAAGTCGAAATCACCCTCTAATCCTAGACAATACGAAGAACTCTAGACTCTCCTAATAATCCTAATTAGGAGATGCTTAATCCAAAATTAATTCTAGATTTGCAAGGGGGCATCCAGCAGATTCTTTTAAGTCGGCTTGAGCCACACATCATTTCAATTTGATCAACTTTTCCCTGCTGATTAGACTTCATTATCCACGGCTAAATTATTTCACCTTTTAGTCACTTTCTGACTTTGGATTCTTTCCCCTTTTCTGATACATTCTTGTCCTTTTGGCTTTCCCAATACGTCGTCTTAAGCACATTTCTCTTTAACAAATGACGTTACTAAGAATGAACAAGAATCGATGGTGCAATTGCCTACATTGGAGGGAAATTAGATTGTGACAAGTTCCTTAGCATTCACAAATCATGAATTAGTTAAGAGTCGGGTTATGGTTGTTAGGGAAAAAATGGGCCTTACCGAGAATCGACACGGAATCTAGGTAGCTCGAGCTACTGGCTACATTCGTAAGCAAAGTATGAGATGAAACTCACTATGTTTATATTCGACTAACACAACGATAATAGAGCATCCCCGAATGCTAGTATCCACTCAACATTGCGCACAATTAATCATCGAGAAATAGAGAATCTAGGTAACTCGGTTACTAGCTGCATTCGTAAGCAAAGTGTGAGTCGAAACTCACTATGCTTATATTTGACTAACATGGCGATAATAGAGCATCCCTGAATGCTGGCATCCACTCAACATTGCACACCATTAATCATCGAGAAATAGAGAATCTAGGTAGCTCGGCTACTGGCTACTAGCTACAGCTACAAGCGAAACGTGAGGGGAAATTCACTATGTTTGTTTTTGAGTGCACAATCATAACAGAACATTCCCGTGTGCTAGTATCCACTCAATATTTCACATCGTTGATCTAGATGAATAAGAGAGAGTGTACCGCCATAACTCTAATAGGGAATTCCAAAAAGGACATGATTGCCTTGTGCTCTTTGCCTTTGTTATTAATTGTTCCACTAATTTGTCCAATCGAGTTAATAATAGGTTGATATTCCAAAAACTCAAGTCGACATGAAAAATGGAGCGCGGCCAAAAAAGAAAACATAAACAATGGCGACATTCAAAAGTCGCGTCACCCGTGAATCCGCAAGATCTAGTGGTTAGAGTCGTTGCTCTGAGTTGTTTATCAAACGTACTTGACGACTACCGCAATATTACTTACTTATCGGGACAAAGTCAATATGAATAAGAACATTCGAGGGAATTGACAAAAGTTAAGAAGAAAGGTCTCGATGTCATATGTGAACTGTGAATGGAGCAAGAAAATTTGGCAAGAATCAATGACGTTTGCGACTG